TTAAGATTAAAATTTATAAATAGTTATGTGTTTATATAGACAAGGCTAAAGAAAAATGGCATCTCAACCAGATCTGATGATATTTTTATTTGTTAGTAACCTGGCTCTTCTCTTCTTACTCAATTACATTTATTCACTCTAAAATAATATTCTTATTTCAACTCGGAAGGTGGATGCATCATTCGCCGCAGAGTATGCACTAGATAAATACAATTTCTAAGGTAAACACCATTATCATAGACATTAATAATTTAGCAGTTAACTTGAACTGCTAGACAACTTCATCTATTATTAATGCCTTTCTAAACTTCCCAATCTTTATATTTTATCAATTCAAGATTTTTAATTAATTTTGATATCATTTCTCTAAAGGCTCCTGCCTTCAAATTAATAATCTTATTTCAGAGAGATGATCCTTTTAGTTTTTGAAATTTACAATATACTAATTATATAAAAGAGATGTTACATTTCTTTTAATCCTAGTTTCTACAGGTTTAAATCAATTCCTCTTTTGGAGAGAAGATTTTGGATCATATTAAATATTTGATCTCTTAGATGAATCCTTGCCTAAAACAGACACAACTAAATAAAACATTTCTCCATTGGTCACTAATTATACTAAAATTCTATAACTAACCTGCTTCTCTATAGGCAATCATCCAGAATATAAGAAAATAAGGGAGGGTGAAGACAAAAGCTCTTCCCCTTAGAGAGCCTCTATTTGAATTCACAGAATCCAACAAGCTAGAGTTCCAATAATATTTATATTTTTTTCATTTCAATCTTTTGTAATTTTTTTAAGCAGATATGCAAATATAAAATCGATTTAATTTAATTTTGATTAAATTCACTAATCGCAAGCATATTATATTTATGATCATAATTAATAATCATAATTAATAAACATCAATAATTAAAATTTCAGACTCTAAATATATCAAGTGCATTCTAGTTCTAATTATTATATAAAATTACAATTTTTCCAGGCTTATCATAAAAATTATGGATCTAATAAAGGTTAAATAAATTTTTATTCAAAACTTAATTCATTTGGGGTGGATAAATTAGATTAATAATTGCAAAGATGAGTGAATTTTTGGTTAGAAGTAATAAAAATCTATTTTGTTAATCATCAAAAAAGATCGAGTCTTCTGTTTAAGACACAGAAAATAAAAAACTCTGCTACCATTTTTTTGACTTTCATTCTGAAGAGTTTTAAGTGGAACTTTAGAAATATATTTCAAACTTAGTATTTATGTTTTAACATAAATGGAATTGAATTTTATGCTTAAATAAGTTACAGATTTAAAATTATTACTACAATAAGTTAAATATTAATTTTTTAGCCTACCTAGACATAATCTTCATAGTAAGGTCTAGAATTACATTCTTACATGAAATAGTACTACTTTCACAATTTAAACAAGTTTTACCAAAGGATGCACGAACTAATTTTATGACCATAAATCCAATCAGTTGATATCCTCTAAACATCTTTTCCATTTTTAAATACCAGTCAATTTCACATAATTGCTATCCATCTTAACACTGTTGATATTCTAAGTCCTATTAGCTCCTCACCTAAAATTTATCATAACAAAAGTAGCAGCCAAGAAACAATTATGCATGTCAACAACATCGATACCTTTATTTATCTATGTCCATTCTTCCTTGACATTCTAAAACCAAATCAAACCTTAGAGTTTCAAGCTTATTAGTTATGCTCCTTCATTATCTCCTTCTCTTGTTATTATCTTTGCAAGAATGCTGTTTCAACTCTAAGACTTAGTTACATTATGCAACTGAGAACTTTAGGCTGAAAACCAAAAGATAGTCATCCATAGGGCTTGCTAAATTTATGCATATTCAGTTTTAAAGGGGATAAGAATTCTCTATGTATCATAACATCCATTATCATTATTCGAAATAAATTTCAACACCAAGTCTTCCAACGTCCCTATAAGTCTTCTAATATCGTGTTTGTATCTTACTCTCACAACTATGATACAACTAGATCCAGTTCTGATCTATTAAATAAGATTCGTTCCTGGCATTTTCTTAGGTTCCTTCTCAAAAAAGTTAACAGGCTCATTCCATAATACCACAACAGTTTCCTATTAGATACTCGATTCACTTAATTCTTTCATAGGGAACATTTTTACATTGAGAATAGTCTTATTAAGATGAACATATATTGCTATTTTATTCAGAAATTATAAGACCTTTCTTAAAATATCAATTATGATAAGTTAAAAGAGATCCTCTTGTTAACTTTTCTATTTTTTCCAATCTAATAGCTCATCTTATAAATTGAAACACATCAAACAGTGCTATAAATAAATTTAAACTGAGTAATTTGAACTCCTTTTTATTAAGGATTTACTTACTTTATCTACTCTTTCATCTCAGAAATTATTTTGGTTTATTTAATTTTGATCTATCTCTATAATCATATATTGAATAATATTTTTTCTTAATATTATTTTTTCTATTACAAATAAAAAAAATTAATTAATTTTGAAGTCAGAATGAATGAATAATAATTAGGTCAATATAGAAAAAATATATTCATTTCATTTTGATTTATTTATTCCTGAATGCTATTTTAATTTCTGCATAATGTGATTAATTCTTAAAACTTCAAAAATTTGTTGAAATATGAATTGAAATTAAAATTAAATAGAATTTGTATTTTTTTATTAAAAACTAGTTATAATTAGAAATAAATTAAATAATTATTAAATGATTCTTTTTTGTTTTTTTTGACAGTCACATGATAAACAAGGTCAGGTTATATATATAGCAAAAATAAGATCAACACTCTCTAATTTGATGAAATTAATTTTAATCAAGATCGCTTAAACTATTTCAACTAAACATAACAATTTTATGTCTTTTTATATTTATCTTAATCAGTCTACAATTAAAAGTATTTGATAAATTTGAATGAACCAAATATTAGAAAACCTTACTATAAGATAATATGAAAACCAACTTTTGATCAGCATGCAGTGATATTTTTATTTTAGCTTTGGCAATTATTTTTTGAGTCATTATTGAAAATCAATTACAAACTAGGAAGGAAGATTTCAGGAGAAAATATTATTTTTAATTAAATACTATATTCTTTTGACAATAAAATATATTGTAAACATGATTTTAATAGCAACAAAACATATAATGTAAATAAAATAAATTGTAAAAAACAATTGAATTTAAATTCTAAATATAATTTTACATAATTTAATAAAACGAAAAAAGGGAATAGAATAAGATTTTTTTATACTTCATTTATATAATATTTCATATGATTTGTATTTTTTATAACTCCAATCAAAAAATACTAAATATTATCCATTATTAGTCATTGTTCCAAATGTATCTTTAGTTTAACAATTTAATGATGCAAGAATGTTAAATGTGCCATCGTTTAATTGTCTTATCAAATAGATATGATGTTTGTGTCTTATCAATATCACATTTCTATCTTTATTATGTATAATTGGAAATAAGAAAAAATCATCACATTTATCATTCTTATTTAAAGTGATAGTTTTATTTGAATTCTATTTAAATACTCCATTCTTTAATTCAAATACTAAAATATCATTTTTTTACTTATTTAATGTAACCCAAATAAATTATTAATCATTAATGAAATGTATTTTATATCCAATTTAAACATTTTATTTATATTTGAATTCCCATTTTCCTTATAATCCTTTCTCCCATATTATAAATTCTCCATAACCACATGATGCCAATACAGATTCAGATTAATTAAAACTGAGTGAATTAACACTATTACTATGATTATCTAGAGAATACAGATAAGTCAGATGATTCTTCATAAAATCTACTTACCATACTATTATTTTATGATCACCCCCACCTGATATAAGTTGATCCTCCTATTTATTTAACATTAAACAATTAACACTACCATTATGTTATTGAAATGGTTATGAGCATTTCCACTCATTTTGATTAATTTATTGCCAACAGATAATTTTATAATAAGCACAACCAGAAATAAAGTTATTTGTCTTTTTGCTATAAACCAAACAATAAATAGGATTATTATGTTCTGTATAAGTATTAGATAATTTAAATCTTCCTTATTCAAAATTCCAAATGTTAATACTCCAAATTTCAGTTGTAATCATAATTGATCCATCTTTATTAAACACTATTGCATAACATTATAAATGCTATTAATTTGAATCATCAAGTAATTTAAATTCAACTTATTTATTCTTCATCAATTATTATTCCAATTACTTCTATTCATTCTCAACTTAAATCATTTCCTTTTATATCTAGTTAATAATTTAATACTTTTTACTTTAATTAATTTTTATTCGTTTATAATCTCTTTTGTTTCATAGATGTTTTTTAACTTTGTTAAATTTTCTTCACATTTCTAAGTTTCTTAGAATGATTTAAATAAATGTAGTTTCTTTTCAATTTTTTAATTCCATGATTAGTTAATTTATTTAATTTGGTCAATTAAGAGTTTCTGATTGAATTCACTCAGTTTTTTTTAATTAATTAAACTGTCCAATTCATCAAAAAAGCTATAAGTAACATTTTATGATCCAATTTTTAATAAGTGTTTGATCCATTCATCTGCATTTCCAATAAATTAATCTAATTATTGAACAATATTAGACTTTAATTATTATAGATCTTTTTAGATTTCTTCAATTAGTTTGATGTTAATCAATATCATATTCTCAACGGATTCTTTCTTTGATTTTTGATTTTCTTCTATATTTTATAAGACTTTCTTAAAACTCATTAATTGGGTTTTTGATTCTAGATTTTCCATGCACTCAGTGCATAAAAGTCTTTGATTCCT